TATATATATATATATATATATATATATATATATATATATATGTATGTGTGTGTATGTGTGTGTGTGTGTGTATAATGCGTTTTAAACCCTTCTCACACTCTTGCACTATTCTAAACAATGCTACTAAACGCTCTAAAAGAGCACAGAGTGTCATGATTTCAGCTCCCTGCCTCCACTGCTCTCAGCAAACTGCAAGCGCTCTTGGCCACGCCCACTTGTCCACTCTGCATGGAGAACAGCTGTTCATCTGCAGCAGGAAGTTTATCCTGCAGCAAGGGTTGCACAAAGGTGCAGGAGGTTCTAAATAGTTCAAAATAATATTTTTAAATAAAAACTCCATGCCGATCGTGCGGCTCATCCATCAATCAGCCAATTTGATTGTCATGTCCAATCTTATTTTGAAAAACCACGATAGAGCGAGTCTACGATAAACCGTGAAGTAGCGAGGCACTACTGTCATTTGTTTTTATTAAGGTTTGGTGTATACATATAAAGCCTGTACATAACGTAAATATTAAAAATAAATTTACAGTACTTTTTTTGATACAACAAAAAGAGCCAGACAATTTGAGTCTTGGGGGGGGGGGGGGGGGGATAAATAAAATTTGACCTGAATATTGCTGAAGAATCCTGGTTTCAGAGTCTCAGCTTTCACTTTGATTTATTTTTTCTCTAGCTTAGTAACAAAGTGTTTGAGATATTTTGTCTTTTTTAATGAACTACATTTGCTTTTGAAGTATAGTTTTATTTTATTGTTGGTTTTGCTTGTGTTTGTTTACAAACAAATAATTTCTCTCCCTGTTTGGTGTCTGTTTCTGTGTGTTTCCAGGTTTGTGTTTCATGTATGTTTGGGTGTATGTTTAATGTACAAGTTTTATGTGTGTGTGCGCACGTGTCTGTTGTTTAAGTGACCATTTCCAGCGAGATGCCCAGCAGCGGTGCGTGAAATCACTCTGTTACCACGATGATGGACTGCGCCTGGGTGGTGTTACTTGCCCGCCTCACCTGTAGTACAGATCTCAGTCCCACTTAGTTGCTCGTCTTAAAATAGGGACAGTTTTGTTTGTTTTGCGAAAGAGAGAAATGGTCAGACCGTGTAACATTAGTAAACGTTTAGCAGAAGTCACTTTCAGTTTGCCACCAGTTCAGTGAGTCACACTTCACTGCATTACATTTACAAGTTTGTATTTTTTTAATAAAAGCAGAACACATATTTTTAAACTAGCATGGTAGAAGCTGGTTAAATTCAGTGGTAAGATAAAACATGTTTGCATATTTGCACTAGTCATTTAAGTTTTTGTTTGATTAAATTTGCAAACACATAATGATACTTTATCTTCAGTATATTTCTTGTTTTTATACATCTTTTGTTTACAGTAGTGGTTTTTCTTTATTACTCTTAACTCTTCACATCACAGAACCCCTCTTTCATAAAACATTTAGTAATAACAAACACATAATAATAGGAAGCCAGTGGCTTTGAACTTGGTGGCTACTGAAAGTCCGCGTTGCAGGCAACTAGAGCTTTTCCGTTATTTTGCGTTTTTCGTTACTACTTTAAGGACCCCCCCCCCCCACTCAGAAGCCCCACTGCTTTAATCTGTACTATAGGTTGGGCGGCCAAGTAACATCGGTCAGGCGCAACCCATCATCGACCAGCTGGCAGAGGAGGCTCGCGCCTATAACCGGATCTACGTGGCATCGGTCCACCCTGACCTGTCAGATGATGACATCAAGAGTGTGTTTGAGGCATTCGGCAGGATCAAGTCTTGCACGTTAGCCAGAGACCCCACATCTGGGCGACACAGAGGCTTTGGCTTCATTGGTGAGCTTTGAGGGGGGAGGGTTGTCTCTCGTGTTCACGTGTTGATAATGCTCTGCTACTTATTGATGTTTTATTCATCAACAGAGTATGAAAAGCCTCAATCAGCTCTGGATGCTGTGTCCTCAATGAACCTCTTTGACCTGGGTGGTCAATATTTAAGAGTTGGCAAAGCAGTGACCCCACCTATACCTTTACTGACCCCCACAACCCCAGGTGGCCTGCCACCAGCTGCAGCTGTGGCTGCGGCGGCAGCTACCGCTAAGATAACGGCCCAGGCAAGTATGAATCCCTTCCAAAGGGATTTAGTGGCCTTCCAGGTAAATATGGCCCAAATAGAGTTAATTACATACATGAACATAGTTTTTTTTACTAATGCAGATGAGATATGGACAGTTTTTAAGGATTACATAAATAAGTAGTTGCTTGGACAGTGTTAGTTTAGTGAACCTTAAATATAGGAGTTTCTGGTCGAAGCCATGTTTTAAATGAGGTTAAATGTGTTTTCATATATATTTGCATAATATATACAGGTCCTTCTCAAAAAATTAGCATATTGTGATAAAGGTCATTATTTTCCATAAAGTAATGATAAAAATGAAACTTTCATATATTTCAGATTCATTGCACACCAACTGAAATATTTCAGGTCTTTAATTGTTTTAATACTGATGATTATGGCATACAGCTCATGAAAACCCAAAATGCCTGTCCCAAAAAATTAGCATATCATGAAAAGGTTCTCTAAACAAGCTATTAACCTAACCATCTGAATCAACGACGTAACTCTAAACACCTCCAAAAAATTCCTGAGGCTTTTAAAAACTCCCAGCCTTGTTCATTACTCAAAACCACAATCATGGGTAAGACTGCCGACCTGACTGCTGTCCAGAAGGCCATCATTGACACCCTCAAGCAAGAGGGTAAGACACAGAAAGAAATTGCTGAACGAATAGGCTGTTCCCAGAGTGCTGTATCAAGGCACCTCAGTGGGAAGTCTGTGGGAAGGGAAAAGTGTGGCAGAAAACGCTGCACAACGAGAAGAGGTGACCGGACCCTGAGAAGGATTGTGGAGAAGGGCCGATTCCAGACCTTGGGGGACCTGCGGAAGCAGTGGACTGAGTCTGGAGTAGAAACATCCAGAGCCACCGTGCACAGGCGTGTGCAGGAAATGGGCTACAGGTGCCGCATTCCCCAGGTCAAGCCACTTTTGAACCAGAAACAGCGGCAGAAGCGCCTGACCTGGGCTCCAGAGAAGCAGCACTGGACTGTTGCTCAGTGGTCCAAAGTACTTTTTTCAGATGAAAGCAAATTTTGCATGTCATTCGGAAATCAAGGTGCCAGAGT